CATTGTACCATTTAATAGAAGCCACAGTTTCTAATACAGATTATACAGGGTAAGTCTTTGGGTTTGCGTTATGAGAATGCAAAATGACTTCCATAATTCAGTCAATAATCATAATTCATTTCATTGTAGATATTAACAACACACTCTGAACGCTATCATTTTCTGGCCAAAACTTGTATGTATTTTTCCAAAACTTCATTTTTGGATTCAATAGACACAATTGATAAATAGCTCTTGATAGCAGTTTTTGAAAGATAGAAGTGAATGGTTCAAACAAATAATTGGTTTGAATTATTTGTTTGTAGTAATGCAATCCTACTAGATGTATATTGAGTTGTTTTCACACCTGCATACAGGCCGTGTACTTTGATATATAAGTTAAGTCAACTAATGCATGATCTTGCAAGTCAATGAAGTTATGATATTATTCTAAAGTAAAACAAAACACTAGAAATAATGTTATTGAAAACATTTCCATTTAATTGTTTACTTTCAAAGTATGAAACATTTTATGTTGGTTACCATAATTAACCACGATTACGCATTGTTTTTGCGTGTCCGGGAAATGTCAACTTAGAAAGTTCCAATTTGTGGATGATGTTGGATCAAGAACTAATAACAAGATGAATATTTGCCTACTCAACTGACAAGTGTTTAAACGGGTGAACATGGAGTGCTGTGTAAATACAGAAAATCCAACTATCTTGCCAATGTTAAATTACCATGGCGTTTAACTAGTGGGAAGAGTTGAAGATGTGTACATTTCGATGAGAATTTAACATGTACCTTTCAGATGCTGGCATCGATCAAAATAGATTGATTACATGTATTCATAACACTATCTTAGCTATGATTGATGACTCCAAAATGCAAAAAATCTCATGGCAGAAGCAATTGGTCAATCACTCAAAAGCACAGTTGTAAAAAATAAAAGATAATAGAAAAGAAAAATGTTATTTATTAAATAACACCTATCACGTTACAGCCAAACATGAGATGGCTTCTACAGAGCAAGTTGCAGTTTCTGAAAAATTAGAAAGATGGTATTCTGAAATAAGAAAAAAACCATGGCAGTTATTTAAGTTTTTTTCTCTTACATTGTTTCAGTTTTATTATGAATAGAGATTGTCATCTAGATATGATGGCTGAGTTGAAACTGCACTTCTGCGGTGTGACATTGACGTAATGCTACATTCAGATGCTACACTCGCCCTATTCCTCATCCGCACCAGATTTCGCCGACACTTGAAGCAAAGTTTTTTTCGTGTTTCTTGGTTCCAGTAGACATATACCCACGGGTTGAGTGCCGAGTTACTAAAGCCAAGTAGCAGTAAATAGTTGAGGATGATGGCTAAGTCACAATGTTCTTTGCAGATTACCTCCACTGACAACACTATGAAGAATGGTAACCATGTGAGCAAAAAGCATCCAAACACAATTGCTAACGTCTTGGCTGCTTTCAATTCCCTGGCAAATTTCATGTGATTAATGTCTTGAATTGAACGCTCAAGGTCCGCAATTTGACGCGAGTGTTTGAAAGAGACAGAATATATACGCGAGTAGAAATACACTAAGATTATTAGCGGTGGAAGAAAGCCGACAATAATGAGAACGAATGGGAAGGATGGACGAAGAATGCTAGGAGCTGAGCAACCACAAGTGTAATCAACATTTTGGCTTCCAAGGGTCGGAATAAACCCAAGAAAAAAGGACCAAGACCAGATTGCAATGATAAGCAAAATCTCTTTGGTCTGGGTCATGTTCTTGACATAGTTCAATGGCTTTGTGATGGCAATATAGCGATCGTATGCAATGAGAAGAATGCTATAAATACTTGCGGAGCACGACATAATGATCAGCGATATTGACACGATGCACCACAAGAAAGAATCTGGGTCCACCATCGAACGAATCAGTGATGTAACAATGACCAGTCCGAGAAAAAGATCAGCAACGCATAAGCTGACCATGAATATATACGTAGACTTAAGGTATACTTTATTAATGCACACCGACACAAGAACTAGAACATTTCCAATGAAGATGAGGACAACTTCAACAATCAATATAACCAGTGTTATGCTGTGATGTACCGTCAACTGAGTTGCTGAACTGTCATCTTGACAAACATTCGTTGAGTTACTACCATTTTGCCCTGGCACTGGCTGATCAAAATAATTTCCCATCATCTTGAATTAAATCTCACATCATAGTGGAGTAAAGAGTTGTAAACTACAGTGGTGAGTTCTTCCAACTGTGCTGTCTTAAACAAAGGAGATGATGTTTCGACTGCAACTACTTAGAAACAGCTGATGCAATTCACCGAAAAGAAACACAACTTAGGATATTCAAGACATCATGTGATGATGAGGCTGTATGCATAACTTCGTCTTTCTGCACATGTGCAGCCTCCTTAGCCTGAGATGAATTATAACCCCTTAACTTAGAGCAGAATAAATCCCCAGGTCACGCAGCATGTTCAATAATTTATGAAGCCAGTAAAGTGACAACCCAGGATATTGGCTGACTTTTCTGTATTCAATTGTCTAGAGCAATC